ACTCTACAAATACACATTAAATTTCTATAATAGTCCAATATATTTTCCGTATGATTAAAAAACCCCCAGGAGACTTCCATCAAACCAATTAACATCTGTAGAATAGTCTCATCATTTAGCTCATTTTAATGAGCATCTTTTGGTCACGCACTCCCATGGCTAGACCAATTTTGCCTATTCTCCTTAGCTTAAGGGCATATTTCACTTAAAAAACGGCATCAAACAAAAGGCAAAAAATAACGAAGAAAAACATTTTAACTTGAGGCCGCCTTCTGTTAAATGGCGCGTAAAATTTCACACTCAATTTGTGTGTGCGAGTGTGTGTGATTGTGTAGGAGAGTGTGAGTGTGTTTTAAAGGGTCTGCATTTGATTTTTGGTATTTTTTGCTGTTTAATATTCGTGTGGCTTAATAATATGAAATTTATGCGCATATTATTTTATATTTTCTCTCTTTTTTTTTTGTATATAATATGCTTAATATTTTGTTCATTTTTTACAGTATTTTAACATATGGCACGCTCGATTTGATTTGCCAGCTCTTCCACATTGTTATAAATATTTAAATATGCAATCAGAATCATTTTGCTGTTAACATAAAAACTATTTTAAATTAATATGCTAACATCAAGCGGAAGAGAAAGAGAGAGAGAGAGAGAAACCAGCTTCATTTTATATAAAATCAGATTTAACATTCAAGGTAAAAACAGAAGAGCATTTACGCCCATCTTTTGTTCAGCTGTGCAAAGCTTAAATTATTCTTTGGACCACAAAACACAAAAAAAAAAAAAAAAAATAGAACAAGAAAGAACGTTGCACTTTGGGGCGTTACCGACTGCAAAATACTCATTCATACTAATTAAATTTACTAGCTGCTAATTTGTAGAGGAAACATTTGTATCTGATTTGCCACGCCCACATGGGCGTAGATGTTTTTTTTGTCAATCGGAGTAGACATTCCAAATATTAATTTCCTTACACTTCAACTACCAAGGTTAAAGAGATACCGAAAAATATTCGCCACGCCCCTAGGGGCGAAGTCTTGCTCCTAATTTTCTAACCTTTGGCTTCCTCAGCGGCTAAATGGTTTGGACAGGCGAGCACTGCTCAAAACCAATATTCCCCTTGCAATTTCATGAATGCATCTAACAAGCAAAAAAAAGAAGAAAATCTCTTGGAATAATATAAATAAAATGCAGCATTTTCTGTGCATTCAGTTCTGTGCAAGGACAAATTTTTCGCAATTTACCCAAACAGAAATTCTATGCCAAGAAAATTTTCTGTTAAACAACATTTATAATTGTTAAAATAAATCGGTTTTAATTTAAGCTGCCCGGGCATCAAGTCAACTGTGGCGCTCTTTTAATGTCAAATTTTAAGTGAATTTCTCCAAATTTCATTTACTTTTTAATTAATGTCGGTAAATTGTTAAAAGTCAATTATAAATTAATAAATTCCGCATTTTAGCTGCTGCTTAAAAATGTGATTTTTGGTCAGCTTTGATGGCCTTATGCTGCCTAAAATTTATAATTTATTTCGTTTCTATTTATAATTTTATACATTTTCAAATTTTATGTTTTTGGCAGTTTTAAAATGCGAATTTATAATGAATATGAAGTTGGGATTAATTTGAATATGTTCTGAATGTTGATTTATTTTTTATTTAATCTATATAATAATTTCATAATTTTAAAGTTACTTCATTAGCATGCAAATTGGAGTTGTAGCTGGGAAAACTTTGAAAAAAGTGGGAAATGGACTGAGTTTTGTGAAAGTGAAAGTGAGTTTTGTGAAAAGAAGTATTTTGCCTAAATTTTTTTAGAAATCTTTGAGCTGTTTAAAAGTTGATATAATTAGAAAAAAAAATATTATTTTTAATTTCGCTGAATTTCAAATTAGGAAATAAGAGGAATAAAGTAATATTAATAATAATAAATCATAAATTTGGTATTTTTTTGTATACATTATTTCTGTGCATATAGTTTTTGATATATTTATTTATTTATTTTTTTAAATTT